GCAGCCTTTAGTTTATGATTGGGCTGTGCTGCTTTCTGACCACAATGCACTATACAATAATTACAGGGGTGGTAGTTCCTTTACTAAATCTATGTCTGATGTGCAAAATACAGAACACCATGGCCTGAGTTATGCCATTTTAATCAATGTAGGTAGTACCTTACTATTCAATCTGCTCCAGTGATGTCAGAGAGATTTATCATGTGGATGGAACTAGTCAAGGTATTACTAAGATTGATTATGGATGTCATGACTGGGTATTTGACAATGAGCTGCAAACAAGTTCTGAATCCATTACTCTTGAGAGAATTTTTGAATGTGATCATCGGTAATATTTACTATAAAGTGAAAGCCATCTTTCAAACATGTCAGGTTTCAGAGAATGGCTAAAACCTGAATCATTGCTAAACCAAATTCCATATAAGGTTATGAGAATTTGTCCAGGGTTAGGACCTTCTCCAGGCTGAGCAGCCCCAACTCTCTCAGCCTTTCCTCACAGGAGAGGTGCCCCATCCCCCTGATCATCTTGGTGGCCTCCTCTGGGCTGCCCCCAGCAGGTCCCTGTCCTTGCTGTGCTGGGCCCCAGAGCTGATGCAGCCGCAGGTGGGCTCTGAGCAGAGCAGAGGGGCAGGATTCCCTCCCTGCCCTGCTGCCCAGGGGCTCTGGGTGCAGCCCAGGACACGTTTGGCTCTCTGGGCTGGGAGAGCCATGGCTGGGCCATGTCCAGCTCTCACCCACAGCACCCCAAATCCTGCTGGGCAGGGCTGCTCTGGATCTGCTCATCCCCAGCCTGTGCTGGTACCAGGGGCTGTCCTGACCCAGGTGCAGCCCCAGCACTTGGCTTTGTTGAATTTCCTGAGGTTCCCATGGGCCCCTTCTCAAACTCATCCAGGTCCCTCACATCACACAAGCAATAGTGTTGTGGAATTTCCAGCATGTTCTCCACATCAAGGTATTTCCTCAGCTCTTAGAGAGAAAGATTTACCTACTAATATGATTGTAAAATCCCATCCACATGCAACTTGTTTCACACAAAAGCCAGACAGGGCAGTGCACAAAGTAAAACGCAGTACGTCCTCTGTGTGATTCAGTCCCAGCTGCCCATCTTTGTTGTGGCCACAGACAAAGAGTTGTCCTGCACCTGGAAGAAAAACAAACAAACAAACAGTGTTCCACTTCACAGACTAAAAAGAAACCTACTTCTGTGAGATGCTGTGACAAACAAGGACAGTGATTGTGTGTCACTTCAGGCACTGCAATCAAGTAACACTTAAGAGAAACAGTTGTTTCTGAGACACCAGAAATATCTCTGAATAAGTATAGCTTTGGAGAGCTGGGTCTGTCAAGGGACACAATCCATATGGTGAGACAGGCACCTCTCACACCAAGATGCTTTTTTTATCTTGTTCACATCTGTCTGTATTCATTCTTTACATAATTATCTGTGGCATACAGCACAACCTTTCAAGGGCCACATGTTATGTCCTGGTCCTTACTTTAGCACTCTTAATATTGAATAACCTCTGACTCCTCCTTCCCACCCCCCATCCTCAATACAGAAAATTTGGCATCTTTGTATGAAAGAAACAGCTGAAGAAACCGTCCTCACACAGCCACAAAGTAACCACACAATATATGAGCAACAGGCATTTCCCCCATTTCCCCAAATATTGAGTTAACTGGGAGGAGAGGAAGCTGTTTTACAACTAAAGATTGTACTTGTTGAGACACAGCAGCCACAGAGAGGTGGCAGCACTGAACCAAGAGGGAAACACACCAAAAAAAGTGATTAAAAGCCAAACACTCCATGTAAGAGCAGTGTTTTTACCAGTGATAACTGCAGAATGTCCCCCTCCTCCAGCAATGCTTGCAATGTCTTGACACTTGCAGGAAACATCTTCCAGGGCCTGAGGAACCAGCACATCCTCTTTATGACCAAGACCAAGTTGTCCATAGCTGTTTGCACCCTTCGAAAGCACACAGAAAAATAACACTTTTTATGAAAGTCAACAAAAGAAGCACACATATACTCCCAGGGACAAACAAGCATATTTGGGATATACCACGGGTTAGTCTGCTCCTAAAAATCCCCTGATATGACACAGGATTCCCAGCATTACAGACCAGGACTGTCCTAACTTTGCTGTCACTGCGGTGTCTGTGCAGCCTCAGTATTTCAAAAAGCATGCTGGAATACAACCTGTTAAATAAAATTTCAACTGCAGACTCACAGTTTATAAGGAAGAAAACCTTTCTATCAGGATGATTACCACACCTTTATTTTAATACCAATGATTCCCACTCATCACTAAGGTCTTATTCATGCCACTGCTTTCTGGCAGGCTACCTCCAAAAGGAGAACAGAAAGACCTTTTTTTGGAACCTAAAGAAGTAAATCAGAAACATTAACTAAACTCATTAACTAAATATTTTAAATTAAAGAAATCAAAATTAAAATATAGCAATTACAGGTACTAATTATTTAAGTGTATAAGTATTATATAAATATAGAACTACAAAACTATAGCTACAAAACCCACCGTGGAAAGCAGCAATTGTCAACATGGTAGCAAGTCAGGGAATTTCTTAGTCAATTTCAGCTCCATGTCCAACAGTTCAACCTTCATTCACAAAAAAGGGAATAACATGACCTTCACCACCCCACACACTGCAGCAACAGCAACGCTCCAAACCCACAGTGCTCACAGCTGGTAATCTCCAGCAAATACTATCCCGACCTCACCTGTGCACCCACCTGCTCTCAATTTATCCTCCCCCGAAAGATGCAGCACCTGGTGAATGTTAAACGGCCGCATTCAGCAATAACCACTTTGTACCTACAGAAACACCGACACTTCACACAGAACCACCGGGCTGCTGTTATTCAGCAATAAACACTTTGTACCTACAGAAACTATACAATAACTATTTTGTACCTACAGAAACACCGACATTTCGCACAGAAGCACCGGGCTGCCCGGCCAGCCCAGAGCCGGCAGGTGGGGAGATGTCAGGAGCGGAGCTGCACCGGCACACCAAGCGTTCCCTCACAGCCACTGCCGGTGATACGCGCTTTAGAGCGTGATACTACTTAACAGGAGCAATTCTTCTTAAAGGATGTCTCACAATCTCCCGTTTCAGCCTGTAACTGGCCAAGAATTTACAAGCCTTCAAAGCCAGGCGAGCCGCAGAAGGAGCCGAGGGGCTGGGAACCACAGGCGGGCATCCCAACGCCAGCCTCACGCCAGCCTCACTCCAGCCGGCCCCGGCCTCGGCCCCGCGGGGCAAATGGGGCTGGGCAGCGTGAGGGAAGCCCCGGCACGGCCCCACACGGCTGTGCCCGCCAGGTGACACCGCGGCGTTGCGTCCCTGCGGAGCGGGCACACCGCGGCCCCGCAGCATCCCGGCAGGGCGAGCAGCGGCCCCGCCACCCTCCCGCCTCCGGGCCGTGCCGAGGGCCCACTCACCCAGGCGAGCAGCCGAGGCTCCATGGGACGGCGCCGGCGGCTGCCGGCGCTTCCCGCCGCCCGCGGGCCGGGCAGGAAGGGGCGGGCACGGGGCGGGATCACGGGCGGGCAGTGCCCGAACCGCGCCGGGATACGCCAACCCGGAGAGAGCGATTCGTGTTCGCTAGGAAAATCCACAAATGCCAGAGGTTTGTGTCCAAAACAGGAGACAGAGGAGTCCCGCAGCTTTATGCGAATAGAGGGAGAGAGTCCACTGGGGAATACACCTGTGGAATTTTCCTCTCTCGGTTTCAGAGCACGCACCCTCATTTTGTCCCAATTCCCGGCCACATGTTGCCCTGTTCCTTGCCCCATTGGCTGCGGCGCTAGGAAGGCACAGCCTTCCCGAACCGCCTACCACATATCCCGCCTTGAACCTCCTGTTTTACCCTAAAATTCAGAAGTTGAGGCTTGTGCAGACCCGTGTCTGTGTTAGGAGCCGAGCTGCCTGGCCTCCAAAAAAAACCCGCTGCCCAAAGTCGCTAGAAACATTGGTGCCCATTTCATTGGCGTTAACACCCACACCTTCACCCAGCCAATTGTTAGTAAAGACATGAGCTTTCCTCCCGTGTTTATTGCTACGGTGCCGAAGTAAAGGGCCTTGGTGGTTCTGATAATTATCACAACTCCTTTATTTCGTTGGCATTTAATCCTCCACAATTGTTTAAAGTACTTAAATTATCATGGTTTCACCGAAGGTTTGGGGGGGCGAAGCCAAACATACACGTTGTTAGTGCCGTGGAAGTGCATCTTCTCGGTATTATGTCTAGCAGTTTACTTTTTCTTTTGCTACACAAACGCAAATAAAGATACAACTGCTGTTTTTACAAAGTACTTGAAAGTAGGTGCTACTTTAACAAGTTTAAGAACTCCTACTTGAAACGTACACATAGCTCAGACAAGGCTGGAAGTAACACAGACCTATGTATATTTCAACAACATCATAAATCCAGTGTGGTTAAAACTGTAGCTGAATATTAACTGTTATCACAGAAGCAGACAAAACAGATCCTCCCTTACTACTCAATTAGAGGAAGGTTTCTTCTTTAGAAAGACAAAGTTCCTAAGCCTATTTTTAAATTAAGTGCAATGTAAGCCATAAATGTTGTAGACCATAATTCTACGTCTTAAATGCTCTTTAAAAAAAAGTTATCGTGGGTTAATAGCCACAGAAAAATCTATCTAATCTTGATTTAAACAGTGAGTATTCTTGGAAAGGTTGGCCTGGCAATTGCTTATGGAGCAGAGGTGTCCAACTAGAAAGCATATGAAACTCAAGGTAATTTTCAAGCACAGAGGTTTCATGAAAGTCCTTTCAAGTTCTCAAAATCCTGGACTAGCGTCTCCAGTGTATTTAAGATTTCAGATCATTCTTCCAGCACACTTTCTGGATTTCCTGATAAGATCTACACATGAAGAAAAAAACAGTGCCTGGAGTGCTGTTAAATACACCCTGCACATCACAGATCCCCCCTATTAAATACAGCCTGCACATCACAGATCCCCCACTCAAATGTCTCACATCCTGCACACGTGTCCATGCCAGAACAGGGGTGGCAGAAGCTTTGCACAGCTCTGCAAGGTGCTTGGAACTGTGGGACCCTCGACACAGGCAAGTTTGCTACTGTGCAATGCAGACAATTCAGCAGGACACTGCTTCCCTACCCTTCTAAAGTGCTCTTTGGGATCAGGTATGCTTCACACTACAAGGTAGTTTCTTGCCTTAAAAACCACAGAATTCCTAGGAAATGCTTGGACCTTTCAGTTATAATTTAATAGATAGGGAATGAAGGTGTTCAGGTCAGATAAAGAAGAAACTAAATGTATATTTGTGTAGCTTGTGCAGGTCAAAAAAGTGACTGAGCAATCAACAAGATATTTATTTTTACATAAAGTACACTGCTCTATGGGCTTTGGGTGTTTTTTTAAACTTTGATGTTATTTTAGAGCAAATTAAGCTATTTTGAATATGAAGCTGCAGTTTGGAAATGGTTTTGGGCTTTATGCTAAATCAATGCTTGATGGCTTGCTGTATTTTTTTGCTAAAGTAATTCAATCAGGAAAAAGGCAAATGGTATCTCTGTAAGGAAAGGTCTTCCCTCAGGTGCAATATCAAGGACAGCAACAAAAATCCTGACTCTAAGCCAATATCAAATCACTTAAACGTAATTAGGATTTCATGCAACAGCTGTATCTCTCTTTATACTAGAAGCATGCCAAACATTGCATTTGCAACTCTTTGTGGCAAGAATAATCCCTTTGAAAGCAAGATTTGACTCCTCCCTTTTATCATGTAGAACCTCCAGCTATTTGTGTCCTGATGCCTGCATTGTAATCATTCAAGTCTCAAACTTAGTAGCACAGTCTTTGAAACACTGAATTACCACAGCTTCTACGTTGTCAAGTGTTCAGCACCACGCAGTCAGTATCATAGACTGCTGGAGTCAGGAATTGAATTCTCTCTGGGGTGAATTACTCCATTTTTGCCTCATAAGCCACTTTCTGCAGCATCTGATCCCAGCCCTGATCCACAGACCACACTTTTTCTCCAGTCTAACAATTTCTCCATCCCCCTACAAGCTTCTAAAAGGCAACTCTGGACCTTTTTTACCTAAGAGGGTTGGAGGAATGCATTTATGTGAGGAAATTTACAGAGAGTAACAAGATTAAACTGTTATATTCTTAAGGGCCATTTACTCTTCCATGTGCAAAGGAGCGAGTTCTGCATGCAACACATTATATGCCTAGAAAGAAATCAGTGGGGAAAGGGGAGGATTGGCTTGCAGCCCAGTGCTGGCAGGGTGTTAAACTTCCAGCTGCTTGCCCATCTTGCTGAGGGCGTCGCTGACAATGTCCAGCTCGTGGCGCAGCTCGTTCACCACGCTGGCGATGCTCTTCGTGTCCTTCAGGACCTGCACGCTCTGAGTGTAGGGGTTGTACTTCACCCCAAAGGGACGCTTGATGGTTTTTGCAAACTCTCTATTCAGGTAAAAAGAAAAAAAAGAGTGTGTTATATCCAAAAGGGGGTGTTATAAACAAGACATAAACCACAAATTCATTCTCTGTATGCAGCCAGTATCAATACCCACTTTTCTAAAGTATTTTAAAATATTTTTCTATAGTATTTAAAATAAATATTTAAAATATTTAAAAATATAATTGTTATATATCTCCTGTACCTGAAAGACCATGAAAATACTAACCAAAACTCCTTTACTGTGAAATATAGTTACAAAACTCTGATAAGACTAAAAGGGTTTCGCGCTGCAACAGAGAGAGATAGAAACCCAAATCTGCTTTTATAAAAAGAAGGGGGGTGGGGAGGGGGGGGACAGAATCTGTACCTCATCTTTTCCTTTGCTTCTTCAAAACTTTCAGAAACAAAGTAAACCTCCTGGAAAGTTGTAATGATACATTCTTGCTTGCAGGTGACCTTTGGATCAAAAGGTTTGACTTTGGCGCTGTCAGAGAGTGAGTGCTGGTGAGGTGTTACCATGGGTCAGAGGAACATCACCATCCAAAGAATCCAGGAGGAAAATGACATGTGATGAAGTGAATAAAAAGGATTATGTGAGATGATTTTAATGCATCTCATCTTGAAATTTTTATCTGCAGATGAACAGTGATTAAAGCCTAACAAACTGAATTATTCTGAACAGTCATATTCTGCCAGTCTGGGTGAGAAAAGGGACTCCACAGACACAAGGGTTGTGTATAAACAAGAGCAATATTTTTATAATCTGAAGCTTTGATCTGAAAATAGTTACCTGGACTGTAACATCAAGAAATTATACTTCATAAAAAGCAGGGGGAAACAGTGGCAGTAATAATGAGGCACAAAGAAAAGAGGCAAGCAAGCAGTAGCCATTCTTACCTTGAGCTCACTGATGGAAGAGAGCAAGCCAGCCCCGTAAACTCGTAGCTGCCCCTCTTGCTTGCACAAGCCAAACTCTACCGTGAAGAAGTAGCACTGAAACACAGAAGGAAGTAAAACAATTCAGCCTTCATCAAAGATGCTGTGGTGAACTAGAGATGGAAGCATTTCTATTTGTAGGTAGCATCAAATATTTGCAAATATCAGAGAGTTGTCACTCAGTTATCCTGAGACATATAAACAGGAGGAAAGCCAGGATGGAAGGATGAAGAACCACAGGATTGCATGCTTCTCATAAGAAAGGTGGATGTCACAGATCACCCAGCTGGGCTGGAAGATGCTAATGCCAGTGCAAACATTGAGGTGTAAATCTCTTTTGAGAAATACTGACGTGAAATCACAGCCTCAGCTTAAAACAATCACTGGGTAGAGCGGATCTCTGGTGAGTAAGAACAGCCCACTGCAGTTTGTTTCTCATTTGCTTAGTGTGCTGTAAAATTAAAGACATTCTGTTTGCTGAATTTCAGGGTTTCTGCAGCTATACAGGAAGGAACACTGTTTTCATAGATGGTTTATTTCTGCCCCCACTGAAGGTAGTACAAGTTTTACACATGACATGGGAAAAGAAATTTTTAAAATCAGCAAGCTAGTTCTTGCATAACTGGCACAGATTATTTTTCATCAAAATTTACTTTTAATCTTAAAATACCCCAGCCAAGACTTCCAGAGACTGATATCCAGAAAATTAGTTTATATTATTTTAATTTCTTGACTGAAAAGTATCTAATGCTAGCGCTCACCACATTCAATACCATATAATTTCAATTCATTCTACACATTAAAGAAATAGAACTTTCAAATCATTGAATCATGTTCCCAGAAGAAAGAAGACTTTGTCTGAAAGAAATAGACCATAAAATTTCAGTCTGCAGAAGCTAAACCATTACTTGACAGTAGAGCGAAGGAAAATACCAATCATATCAACTTTAAAGTGTTTTTTTTTCCCTAACATGGAAAATTTTTTCATGCTTTACAATCCAGGGACCAGCGAAACACAAAGATCTAGCAGCTGATGTGGCTAATGTTGACACGAAGCTCCACATTTATTCCATGGCATGGAATCAGCTTAGTGAAACACAAAGGTTTTGATGGAATCCCCAGGCACTCAAACACTCACTGTTGCCAGTTTTTGGACAGCCTCATCTGATGCCCCAAGTGATGCAAGACCAATTTCCTGAGAGAACTGAGCAAAACTGGGTTCAGCCAAAAGAGGGACATGGCCTAGGAGCTCATGGCAGGTATCACTGGAAAAAGAAACAAAACAAGAAATCTCCTGATTTGTCTTTGTGGCAAAGTGAAAAAGCAGCACCACTGAACAGATACAATGTCTTGCATTAAACTTTAAACTTAAACACTAAAAGCATTGCCCATTTCTCTGAAAGCAACTGAGCAGATCATACCAACCCTATATAAAGTGCATAAAATCAGATTTTCAAATGAAGGTGCCTAAAATTGAGGTCTGAGCTCCCCATGTGTTAGGAAACTGGATATTAACTGCACACAGTGATATTAGGAGAAGATCTCCAGTAGCAAGCTACACTTTTGAAAATCTTGCACTTACAAAGGTGGCATTTCAGCATGCTGTAAATTCATTACATTCAGCGTAAAGGCTGAGTCTTCAGCATCTTAAAAATAAGTTTTATGCTGGTGTTCTTGAGCAGCTTTTAAGTAACTTGGCTCTGGGCAAGCCAGATTCAAAACTCTCTCACAAACTCTACCCCAAGATTAAACGACTCACGGCTCTGGTGTGTAGAGAGGGTCTGAGCTGTGTCTGACATATTGAGTGCAGTGAAAAACTCGGAATGCCAGTCCTGCCAAGAAGTCTCTTGGTGACAGATATCCAGCCACGGGACGAATGGTGAAGCCTGTGCGCTCTGAAAGTGACCAGAGAAGCTGTATGTTAGTTTAGCTCAGGATGCACAGTGCTGTCAGCTTTCCTGCTGGGGCTGAGGTGACAGCCACAGCACTACCTTGGCTCAAAAGCATGTGGGAAAATGAGGCACAATTAGAAAAATTAGACTTAGGCTTGAGTCTGAGAAACATTTTTTAAAATGGCCCTATCTCTGTGCTAATGGATTTCCTAGGATTCCATGTCTAGGGTCAATAATATAGCCAGGTATCTCCTTAGCCAATCCTAACAATCTTTTCAGACACTGCCCCTCAAGTGTCACTGCCTGCACTGAAGACAAATACATTAAAACACAGATGGCCAAAAGGCCTCTTAGAGGATCAGAATGAATATAAGTCACCAAGAATGTTTCCTTGTGCCCACAAAATGGTGGGATTTGCAATGGACCTCAGTTTATTTTGAAAACCAGAAAATTATAGGAAACCAGCAGATTACCTTTCAGGAAGCGAGACACATCTTCCAGCTGGGGAATATTGTCTTCCCTGTACCCACAGTGTTTGGTGAGCAGGGGCAGGTTTTTCAGGTACTCTCTGCAGGCATAAGTTGGGTAAAGATTGTTCAGCTCTCGGTACACAATCCCCCAAGTCTTGATCTCCTCCTCAGTGAATTCAATCTTGGGAATTGGGTCACCACTGCAAGAAGAAGAGGAAGAAAGAACACTCCTTAGAAAATGGCTAATAAGAGGTGACTAATTTACCTACTATTAGTATTTAATACCTGACTGTGACACCTGCCATTAGACTCTATCAAATACAGTGAGATCTGGTCTATGTCCTGGAAAGCTTTTAGTCTAAGGACTTGCCTGTTTTTCACTTTAACCAGTTGTCAGGAATCTTGGCATTGATCTCACTTAAAGCATTGGTTCTGTAAACAGTTTCTTAATTGTTTAATGCCAAGAGTAAGGTTTAAAATACCTACACAATCTCTTCACAGCTTCAGGAGCTGATAACATATCCTTTTCCATGTTGGATTTCTAAGTCTGCAATTATTTTCCATTACCCTTTTAATTTGTTTTAAGAAAGGAAAATTTCCTAAAATAACAACACATAGTGTGACAGCAGCTAAATATACACATCAGGTAAAAATTATGTTTCTGTGCAGAGGAGACCAGTGCCTGTCTGAGCATATTAATTTTAGTCCCTCTTTCCTATTTAGTCCTCAGGACCTTGGATAAATGACACTGCATTTCCAGTATCAGCCAGGGAACTGGCATGGAAAATGCTTTCCCAAGGGAATCTCTGTCAACAACAGGTTAACAATAATCAGCTTGGGACTGTGGTAACCAGTTGCATTAAACACACAGTGCAATAGAACTCTAAATACAGACCTTTTCTAGGTCACTTTCAGTTGAGGAACTTGACACCTAAATTCAATCAGGCCACATGAAAATCACGTTTAGAAAGAATTTACAGCACTGGGTTATGAATCTCTTACTGCTTTAAGAGCTCCACCCTCTGCCAAGAGGCATCTCTAAAGACAGAAGCTCTTAGAATTTCTTTTCACAGAAAACTTCTTATCGACACATCACACATGCTAGTTTGAACCAGGAAAGAAAATTCAAGTATTAACATTTGCTCAGAAAGTCTACTCTCAGTGGTCACTGGGCTGTACATTGGGATTTGCCTCCCCTCCCTCTACTTTGCAGAGCATCTGGCCAAGCCACACAGCCTCAGACTGACCAGGGCTGCCTCGATCTACCTTCTCATCTTGCCTCACATCTCCCTTCCCTTCGCCTCCTCGGCTCTGATCCCTGAGCTGAGCCTGCATGTCTCAGCCTGGTCTGAGCCCAGGAAAGTGGGCTCCTCCCAGCCCACTCTGCTGTTATTTCAAAACACCCAGAAGGCTTCTTCTGGAAGAATTCAAGCTTACTGTTTGTAGTTCATAGCCAGGTCTGCAAAATACTTTCGCCTCTTGCGATAAACATTGTCTTTGAAACCCTGGTGGGGAGAAAGGAAAACACAATTCAGTGAGTTTCCTAGCCATAATAAATAAACCAATCACTTTAAAACAGAACCCTTGACATTTCTGCAGTTGGGGAATAGAAAAGTATGATGTGTAAGAATGAAAGGAGAGGGCAGGAAACTCATAGCTGAAGTCTGAAATGTTTAATAGATGTGAACTGAGCAAATACTCCAAAGTAGGAATCAGCTGATTTATGCAACTATATATTCCATGTAGAAGGATTAATTTTAGTTGTATCAGTATTCACACAAAGTTTGTTACCTGCATGATTATTCAAAATTACAGAACAAGTTGCCCGTTTTCACTGCCTAAATACCAGCTTGGCTTCTCCGGTAAGGAAGAAAGGTAGAGGGGGAAGAAAGCCTGCCTCAAAATAACTTTCTTTTAGCTTCTTTAATGTGTATGTGACCACTCAGGGCCCAGACCTGGAGTCCTTGCATGAGTAAGCCCTGCAGAAAAGCACAGGAACTGAATTCAGTTCCTGCTTACCTGAGCAAAGAAAGAGACATGAAATCCCCAAGAGAAGGTGCTCAGACCTCCAGAGACACCATTGAGAGGAAAGGGAGGAGGAAAAGCTGCAATTTTTTAGGTCAGCTCCATGAATTGTTTCCAGCTATGGACTGGATGTAGGGAGGGAAAAGTACTTACGGGATGGTCAGCATCCAAGTCAGAGCCGTACATCAGCACCCGGTTTGCACACTTATCCAAGTCTGAGATCTTCTTCGGAAACCAGGGAACGTTCTCCATGCCTGGGGAAGGCATGGGATCCACAGGGTTATTAATAACACCCAGCACACCGAGGGAGGAAGCGCTGCTTCCAAGGACGGCCACGGCGGTTACAGCTCACCCCATAAATTAACGGGGATGAATAAGACAAGGGAGGCCTCTGCCTATCTGGCACCAGCCTCCAGCTCACACTTCCTCCTCAGTCACTGCCACAGGCTGCCTGCAGAGCACAGCCAGCCCCAGAGCCTCTGGGAAGGACAGCCAGCCTGGGTTTCTCTGCTGCAGTCAGAGTGGCATCCAGAGGATCCCATGGAGACAAGGCCTCCCAGTGTACAGCTGCTGGGAATCTTGGAGGGCACAAAGGGTGCAAAGGAGAACAGAAGGGATTTGTCTGTGGTCCCTGGGCAGAGTGGGAGCAGGTTAGAGCCCTCTCATCATGTTTTACTGACCATGGGAAATGTATGTTTCCCCATGGTTATGTACATGGGAAGCACCTGGTTTTCCCTTGAGGGGTATGGGGGAGAGGAGGAACAAGAGGCCCTGCTGCCTGAGACAGGAGCATCATTACACTTTTGCTACCAACTACTTTGGGGTTATTTTTGCCCTAAGAGAGTTTTTTGCTAAGCCCTTGGCAGACCAGTTAATACACTGTTTTTCTGCCTCAATGCTCTTCAGTTTACTTTAAAAGGTCAGGAGACTGTTTAGATTGAATTTCCCCTTACTTAGGGCTAAAGTAAGCCATTTTATCCAAGAACTCCAGATGTCTCCTTCCCGAGCACAATGACTGAAAAATACATGGGACCAGTTTTCTGCTGCCCTGAACTTTGGGCATCTCTTCAATTAAAAGTAAAGGTGTAAACACAACAGGTATTATCTAAAAGTAAAGGGCACCTCTGTTGTACTAATATGAGGAGGCCAGTTATGATTAAAAGTGGGTAAAAAAGACAGCAAAATCAAGAACTAAATGAGGAAATTGCAGAATCCATCCTGCACTCTCCCCAGTATCTGAACTGAACTGGGACCTGTCAGTATCACACCTCTGCCATTGCAGTGTACTCAAGCCCTGTACTCAGACTTTGCCCACAGGCCAGCCTGCTTTGGCCTGCACGGCTCCCACTGGTGCCAGCTGGGCTGTGCTGGGAAGGGACAGGAACACAAACAGCAGACATACAATTTCTAGCAGCCTGACACAGCCTGAACTCCCAGGTTCAGGCCAGACTACACTCACACATAGCACAGAAACAGGTACCTGGCAGCAGGGGCCTGAAGACACGACACAAGTGCAGGTGTGGACAACCATAAAAAGATTTCAAACCAACACATTTGGAAGTGCATTTTCATCAGCACTGCCTTTTGTACCTACCATCTTCCTGGACACTGAAATGCTCTGTGGGGCTCACAGAGACGATGTTGACGTGGGATTTCAGGAGCTGGAAAATCTCGTTGAGCTGTTCCCTGTTACTGTCACAGTCCACAAAGATCTCAAACTCCGAATTTCGTCTCTTGGACTTCCGTGACTCAATGTGCACCAGATTTACATGCTTCTCCTGTTTAGTAAGAAGCAATGTTCTCAAAGAGATAGGCTAAAAGCAATTGACTAAAGGTTAAAATAGTTTTTCAAATTCATATTCTACTGCCATGAACTATTCACCACGTCTATGAAGCTATTTTAGTTAATTGGATCTCTTGATAGCAATTTGCTTATTGGAGGGGGGCAAAGGTTTGCTTTTCTATTCAGAAGAAAATGAAAGCAAACCTGTGTTCTTTCAGTTTTATTTACATTCAGGAAGCACATAAAGACACAGTCAGGAAGTTTAAATTCATGGACCTTTTTCTTTTATCCTTCCCGTAGGAAGCTGATTAGCCAAATTCACCAAAATGCCAATCAAGTCACCATATAATTATCTCACAAGCAAGCAAGGGATTTAAAAGCAGTAGTTTTCAGAGCATTAGTTTCACTTTTCTTTAATCTGAAGAATTATTTAATCATGTGTTTTATATTAGGAACATTGAGAAAACCCCAGGCTAAATCACGCAGAGCCACACTCCAGAGCACAGTGGCACTGCACATATTCCTCACACAGCACCTGCCCAGCAGCTGTGCAATTGCAGCTCCTCTGCCACCTCCAGTCTGCCTGGGCAGTGTGGCAAGGGCAAGATCAACACCCCAAGTGTCTGCCTGCCATCAGCAGGGGCTTCAGAGCACCTCTTATTCCCAGCAAAACCACTGAGTGCCAATCCTCTTGTCATGAGGGGAAAAGACAAACTTCTCTCAGGTAAGAGTTTTAGCCAGCCATCATCTAAATTTCTAAGGCACACATTTTCCTTTGTGGGTAATTTTGGGTGGCAGATGGGAGCAGGTTAAGAATCACATCCTTAATAAACGGATGTAATCAATTCTTGTGTGCTCTAAAACTACCCTTACAATTTAAAAATGGAGAGCTGCAGTGATGATCATAAGATTATAGAATACATACCTGAAAGAGTTTTAATGCTTTCACAAGTCCTCCAACTTCATTCTTCAAGGAAAAAATGATGGCTGTCCTTCCTCTTTCAGATGCATGGTCTTCGTTCTCTTTGTTATCTTCAATCATCATGTAAGCTGACTTATTTAACTAGATGCAAACAAACAAGAAAAATTTGTTTGAATGGGTAGAAGTGCAAAAAGTGTAAGTTTTTACATTTCAGGGTGTCTTGGGTAATGCTGTGCTTTGATCAACCACAAAAGGAAAAATATTAAGAAATAACAGGAATAAAGTTAGTCACAGACAGAATTTGTGAGAGACTGAAATACCAATATATCTTTTTTTTTAGTTGAATGATTTTATGGACATCTTTATTCATTCCCTAGGATGCAGAAAATATTTTCAATGAACAGTTTATAGTTAGCATTGCTACTGGGAGGAAGAGGAGCAATAAGACACCATCGGAAATAGTACATTGAACAAAAACACTTGTTAGCAAGTTCAGTGAACACTGGCAAAGAGAATAATCCAAATCCCACAGGAACATAGGTAAGAAAAGATGAATCAGGATTCAGTAGATCAGAACTGAAAATCACTCTCTTGTTACATAACTGTAATACACTGTTTTCAGAGGGCAAGGACACAAACCTAAGGAGGTAAAATGTTTTGCTGGCCGGAGTCTGTTGGCTATACAGACACTCCCTCTCTGATCAACCACAGCACAGCTGCTCCATCTGCTATGTCCCTTAATTCATGTGTCAGACCCTTGGCACAGTCATCCAAATCACACACTGAAAATTCAGACACCCCGCACTGTCAGACCGTGTGGTTTTGTGCCTCACTAGTGAACACACTCCTGGCTGTGTGGAAATCAGCTCTCACAGACCATATTTTTAGCTACCTGTAGCCAGGCCATAAAAAGAGATAATACTGAAACAGTAAAGAATAAGGAAAATACAAAGTAAAGAAAAAACACAAGGCTTATGAGCAGAGGCTATCCCTCATATGTCTTCAAAACTTGCAAAAATGAAAGAATAAAAGGAGAGGTTTCTGAATCAGTCAGCAAGAAAGAGGAGAGGAACAATGAAGGCACAATATTGCTATTTGGAATTATTTTTTGATCTGACACAACTTTAAAGATATCATTACCTTGAGACATTTTCAGAAATGAAAAGAGCAAAACAAAATGCAAACAAAATGCACCAGTTCCTTTGATTCCCTTATACAGTCTCTCCAACTTTAATGATGTAATGAAAATATTTGGATTTCTGTCTGGGTTCCCACTTTGAATGAGTTGCCACAATATGATGAGCCTGGACAGCAGAGTCAGACCATCACACTGTTTCTGATCCACCAAAGTCAATGAACTGCATCAGCTTGAGTCCAGACACCAAATTTTCTGCTGGAAATTGGCAAGCCCAGTCAGGGTTCAGCTGAGCAGCCTGCAGATTTCCCAGCTCACTCCAGTGTCAGATCACTGTCACAAGAACCATGAACAGGCACTGAGCACAGGCACTTCAAACAGAAAATAAAAAGCTGCAAACACCACGATTACAGACAGGTCATGGGCTGTTTTCTCAAGTGCAGAGAGCCATTTGTGTAAGCCAAATCCTGTTCAGATGGGGCTGCTGTAGGAGGAGCAAAGAAGTCTCCACTACAAGTAGAGTTAGGTGGTCTTTGAAGGCAATAAATGCAGGGCTGATTTATAGAAGAAGCTAATATGCAGCAATTTGGCTTAACTTCATGTCTAGGATCATTGGCTTCAGCCTGGATCAGCCTTTATGAGATTTGGCACAGTTGCATGCAGTGTTATGAGGTGCACAGCTGGGACAGACTACCTGCACCAAAAACTAAAGCTCTTCTTTTGTGCTTTGCTGCTGCAACTTACACTGTGTCTGGGATCAGGTGACAGCATCTATGAAGTTATATGTTTAAGAGATCAATGAAGAAAATCAACAAAACATAAAATGTTCTTATATCAAGCTCTAGAAATGACCTCTAACTTAGGAATTACAAATTGGAAAAAAGAAATTGCGATGCTTACAATGCCAAATGCACACCGTAGACATTATTTAACCCTACACCAAAGCTCACCTTTTGCTTTAATTAAAAAATGAAGACAATCACCCAATGCAGCAATCATTTGGGTGCAAGGCAACAGGAGAAAAGGTAACACAGAAACAATTCCTCTCCTCCTGTGGCTGCACTTCATTTATATTTTAACCTCTATCAGTAACTCAGCAACCCAGCTCTAGTAAAATCTGAAACTTTTCCTTTGCATGGTAACACATTTGAACATTTTGGAGGGTGAAGGGGGAGTTAATATTGCACTGATGTTTTTTATTAGTGATGCAAATCATTAACTGATTTTCCACCAGCCTGACTCAGTCTTGACGAAAATAGACAAACACAGGGATGTTCTAAGCCCTTTATTTAGGTAGATAATTAGGTGCTGTCCAGTTAAAGATTTCACTTTTTAGGACCCATAGCAATTATCTTTCCTTTCTCCCTCTCCCCAAAGGATGTTCACAGAGAGAAAGATATATGAGGGAGCATATTTTGTGCTTTAATTCTTCATATTAATGGATAATCAGGATTTTAAATTATCCAAACATATTTGCCTTAAAAAATCTCATTTCAATTCATAAATTGAAGATAAAAAATTATTTTCAAAATGTTTTATACTGATTTGCATTAATCACAATTAATAAAATGTGACAATGGGCATTTTATATTCTCTTCCCTTTAAGTAGCTGCTTACTTTGTTGCTGTCCTTTTGACACACTTCTAGGGAAGGGTGAACACACGATACTAGGAGTGACCACAACTAGATATCACATTACATTTTCCAGCTACACCAAAGTTCTTGCTAAGATTTAGCTCTCAGACACCAAAGCAAAAGCTGTGCTGAGCAGCTTATTTGGCTTCCAGGTATCTGAGGAATACAGCAAAGCAATGTTTTTGTGAAACTTTACTGTCAGCATTCTTGTCTTCACAAGGAATTTTACAGACTTTGTCAACTGCGCAGTATCAGTAACTGCAGCCAGTGCTGCTTCTATCTGATCTCTGATGCACTAAGCAAATTCCCACTATAATGGAGAATATTATAAATAAAAGGAGTGAGTTCTTCTGAGCTATGTCACACCCTCTGTCTCTTAAGCAATGGTACACCAAAAGTTGCTTTTGTTCTACCTTAATTTCATATGCTCACAGTTACACTTTGAGATTTTTTTTCCCCTCTTTTATCCCAAACCAGCAGCTCCATCCCAATCCCAACGGCACCGAAAGCTGCCACCGACGCCAGAGGAGCCGCACCCCAGGTCTCTCCAATTTCTGCTCTCCAAGTAACCAGAAAGCTCCCGATTTTCTCAAATCCCCGTTCCGAGAGGTGCAACAGCGAAGCGCCCGAGCTGTGACTCCACAAAAGCGGCGCTTACTCCGCAAGCCGGGACTGATCCCGGGGCCGGGCAGCGAGGATCCCATCCCACACTCCCCGTGCCATCGTGCTCCCCTCACCTGTGCCCATCCCGCACTCCCCGTGCCCATCCTGCTCCCCTCACCTGTGCTCATCCCGCACTTCCTGTGCCCATCCTGCTCCCCCCGTGCCCATCCTGTTCGCCTCATCTATATAGGTTTATCCCGCACTCCCCTTACCCATCCTGTTCCCCTCACCTGTGCTCATCCCGCACTCCCCGTGCCATCCTGCTACCCCCGTACCCATCCTGTTCCCCTCACCTGTGCCCATCCCGCTCCACCCGTGCCCATCCTGCTCTTCTCACCTGTGCTCATCTATGTTCATCCCGCACTCTCCGTACCCATCCTGCTCCCCTATCCCGCACTCTCCGTGCCATCCTGCTCCCCTCACCTGTGCCCATCCCGCACTCCCGGTGCCCATCCCGCACTCCCGAGCCCATCCCGCTCCTCACCTGCCTGCCGGGGTCCCGCGGGCTCGGCGCCGCCTCCAGGGATCCGGCGCGGCGCGGCGCGGGGTGCATGGCCGGGCAGGCTCAGGGCAGCGCCCGGCCCCGCCGGCTTTATGCAGGGCCGAGAGCCGCCCCCGAGCGAGGGGAGGGATGCGGGGAGGCGGGGGAGGCGCTACCCGGCCCGGCTGGGAAAGGGGCGCCATGGGCCCCTCCACGATGTTCACCCGGTTTGCAGAGCAGCGACGCTCGGGCACAGCCAGCACCCGCTCCCCGTCACTGCAGCCGGAAAACCCGCACGAGGAGAAGCCCTTTGCCTCCTGAGTTACCTGGACAGGGTCACCCAAGAGGGGTCACAGGACGCTGACTTTGTGCGGGTGACTCTAGGGGTTCTGCAGGTAACATAAATTCACACACCACGGGGCTGAGGGCAGCGAGCATTTGGGTGAGGGAGTCTTCCTCCACCGTGTCCACACAGGCGCTTCCCAGCACTTGTGCACTCCCTGTAAAATGCTCTGTACACTACCTGTGGGGAAGGGAAGGCAAACTGCATCAGAAGTGAGAGGTGGTGAGGGCTGGGCCTGTAGAGCAGAGGGGCTCTGAGCAAAGGGGCCTCTGAGGCTACAGGGGACTCAGCAACATCCTAAATTCTCAACAGCACATAGTGCAGGCTGTAGTCCCAAAGTCCCAAACACAGTGGGCAGATGTACTGAGATCTTCACTAAAAACAGCAGTGCATTTCTGCTGTGAAAATAAATTGCAGCGTATTCCTTCTTTTCGCAAAACATCCTAGGAATACAAGAAGAGTAACTACTTTTTTATTAGCAGAAAACGACATCTTTTCATATCATTTATGTTGTCATTTATTTTCTGCATATATCTAGGTGTGTTTATAGTATAAAAACTCATGGTTTTTTGACTCCAGTCCTCACTGTCTCATCTCAACTTGGCAACATTAAGATAAGGGAATTTTGTCCACAGCAGAAGCCAAATGTTCCCCGGGAACATAATCTCTTGGAGGTGTTAGGAGTCTCTTGGGGAGGAGAGATTGATTATTTTCTATATGAGCTGTCCAAAACCAAAGACTCTGATCCTTTTAATATGGTTTTTTTAAACAAACCTTTCATAGAAATGCTCAAAATCAGCAGCAGCTAGTTTCACTTGAATATAATCAAGTGTCTGGAAAAATCCCCAGTATCTCTCTCTTCAGTGCTTAAAAAGGTTTTGAGGATTTTTTCAGCTAGATCCCTTAGACACTGGTGTAACACACCTGGTAAATCATATTGATGAAGCAAATATAGAGGGTGACACCTAACCCAGGCAGGCACAGTCACACTTGCACCAACATCTGAGATGATGATATCAGAGTCTTCCTTCTACCTAGAAGGACTGAACTTCAAACAATCCTGTTTCTAGCTGGAAACAGTGACCAGCTCAGTCCTTCAGAAACAGCACAGCTGAACAGGATGACATAGCTGGAAAAACCCTTTTTTTTTTCCAGTTTGCTAATGGGACATTTTTCATCACCAGATGCTTCAATTTTCCTGGCATAAAGAAAATGCAGTATTTATCAATATATGTATTATCTCTACAACAGGCATTTCACTTCCTTCCTGAAGAATAAATCTCCCCATCAAATGAGCTGACTCATTTGAGAGAGCAAACAGTTTGTAGGATCTTTACCCAGACCCCTAAGTGTGTGAGAGCCTGGTGTTAATGACAAATGTGTAAACATGGGCACAGTAGGACAGTTATAATAGAATATGACTAATCTGCCAATTTTCCCTAGCTCAAATGGAGCAATAAGAATGGAGGACCCACGGGTAGCCTGACCTATAACTGCTGAAACAATGGGAATGAGGTCAGAAATGGCCAAGGAAATTTAACCTAATATGAAATATATTGGTTGCATAACGAGATAACTGGGGTGCCCAGGGTTTTGGGGAGCAGATTAAAGCTGATTCACTGGTTTGGTAAGAAGTGCTTGTTCACCACAGCCAATGCCCCCTGGTCTGAAAAGGCAGAAGCACATAGCATGAACAGACTCAATTACAGCCTGTTTCCACTGGGTGCTCACTGGAGCTTGCTCTGCTCCTCTCCACACTGGGTCTCCAGCTCCTAGGAATCTGTGGATGGCTAAATAGGAGAACTACTTAAAAGGTTTTATCCAAAAGCTAAATCATCACAGTTCTGTAGTTGCAGGGCTTTGGAAAACCCTCACTCTGTCACTAGCACAGCTGCTGCTTTGTGTTTTCACACAGAGAGAAAAATTTCTACCTTTTCTCAAAAACTGGTAGCATATTCTACCATTTGAGAATGGTAGCTTGGGCCCCTACCCACAGAAAAGAGCAGTATGGCACAGCAGTCAGGTATGGAGACAACACAAACAGGGCAGCAAAATGCACAGGAACCACCCTGCTCATCCTGGCAGGAGTGGCACAAGCAAACACCGACCCTTCAGAAAAGGTCTGAAATGGGACCTTGTTGGTCTGCAGGAGCACCAAGGCAAAGAGAGGCCAAAAGTTTTCAGTGGGATGTCAGAAATCTACACAGACCCTGAGGTGGGAAGGAACTCTGAAGGACAACTGGGGCATCAAAACCATGGGGAGAGAAACCTCCCCTTATGGCACAGGAGATAAGGCAATACTGTGACTGATTTTTCTCTAAAGCTTGCAGAAGATTTCTCACATACAGCCTCTCATGCACACAACACCCTCCAGACAGATAATCAGCACCTGAGGATGGAGCACAGGTCTGACCCTGCTCAAAAGGGGGTCAAGCTGATTTTCCAGGATGGGGCTTTGCCATGTGCAGCTGCCACAAAACCTCTCTCACTGGCACAGAGAAACCATGGCACGTGAAGGCTACCAGAGTGGCTTTGCTTACATTTTCCCTCCTAATCGCTCATTAAATGAACTCTCCTCACTCAGATCCAAGTGACAGGGTGGTGTCAGACTGAAGTCATTGCACTTTTCTCAGTCCTTTGCTGGAGTAGCTCCAGGAACATCAAGCATCTCCAGAAGAGATCACAAATCTATTCCTCCTTCCCATCTGCTAGCTCAGAGGTGACTCTGCTCTAGTTTTCAGAGAGTTTCTGTTTTGTTCTTCCAAGCAGAAACCTGACAGCAGAGTTTGCAATCAAGCAGTGTTCTGACACTTGGGAGTACACATTTGTAGATTTGCTCTGGAGATTTTGAGGCTGAGAAGTATTAAAACCAAGCTGTCACACCTCCAGATCTCCCCCTCCCTAGGAGGCCACACAGTAAAGGGACCCTTTTTGCCCTCTGAAACACAACAACCTAAACCTTCTGCCCTGCCTCTCCTCTTCCTCCCACTCTGTGAAAGTTTGTTCTCTGTGGGTCAAATATGTAGGGACTCAACTAACCTGGCACATCTTTGCAGACATGACACAAATCTTGTGTTTACCAACAAGGAACTGGGGAAGCTGGTCTGGGAGGGAAAAAAAGAAAAATCAGTGTAGTACAGGGGCTCCAATCTGGGGAGAGACAGGGTCAGAGGATGGTTTTGTTGAACTGGTCAGGCAAGAACATGGAAAAGCAGGTTGAGAACATTCTGTAAGGATATTAATCTTCTGCTGAAATATAAGATTATCTACCTGAATGCAGCAAGGGTGATGGAGAGAATCAATCAGCCCTAAAGTCTTCTCAATCCCACCAAGGTTATCAGTGGGAATTACCTGATCTCCCCATGTGATTGGAGAAAGTGCTCTAATCTCCAATAAAGCAATTTCACAACATCACTTCTGAGGTATAACCCCCCCTGGACTTTATTTGGCCCAGGCATCTGCCTTTCCAAGCAGGACCATTTGTCTGAGGCAAAGGGGCCACTTGAAACTTTTCCAGAAAAAGGTATGGGGTGGTAACTCCCTGAACAAAACAGGTTTAATACGATTTAGTACCAAGTCTGCTCTAATTATAATTACTTTCTCCAGAGCACACAACTGAAAATTCTAATCACAGCCCTCTGCCTTTCTGTTAATTAAGTGCTGCAGACAAGTTATGCCTTAAGAATCTCATGGCACTTAGACAAGCACTGTGGAAGTACACAGGGGAAAATGAAGATGAGCATCATGCAGGCCTCTGCACAGTTTGCTTTGCAGTATAAGTTTTACAGATCTTCCTCATATTCTGATTTAATTTTTTCAATGTCCTTTTGTACTGATGCCCAAAAAACTGCTGGTCTGAAAGTCTGGCTTGTTTTTTTCTACAGATTTTTAATAATTATAAAGCATTTATTGTCACAACACCCAAGCAACAGCATTCACTTCCAATCACTTTCTAACCTACATTCTCTCAACCTTTGACTTCTCTCACCTAAATGAGGTAACCTGTCATCGTGGCATTTACCTAAATGCAGGGAGTCAAAAAGCTCCTAATCCAAAGCTTTCCAAATTTTCAAAGAAATGTATGGATCTGAAATCTTGAAGTCTTTCTACAGAAAATTCTTCCATTTTCTCCCTTCTTCTACAAACCACAGTTCTGCCAGCAAACACTTTCCAGAGCAATTCCCCCAGCCTTTCCCCAGCATGAGGCTGTGACAGTGTCACAGCCTGAGCTCAGAGCAGCCTCAGAGAAATGCCTGCATGGCTCAGTCCCTGAGAAGGGCACCACATCCCCATGAGGGTGCTTAGCAAGCAGTTAACAATTCATGCCACTGAATAGTTGTTGATCAATAAAGCATTTCATCCATAACCAGTTAATATGTGACAAAAGGAAAAGGGAGATTTCAATTATGCAAGTATTTAAAACATTTAAAAATATCTTTTTCCAATGAAAAGTGCAAGAACCAATGAGGTAAATTACCCTCTCATCGTGTCTCAGCCAGCTGTAGTATCAACAGCCTTCAAGCACACTTATTTTGAAAAGCCAGAGCTGCTGTGTAAACCTGCTGAAGCACAGCCAGCCAACAGACCATGCACTGTTTGTATATTTGCTTTGGACTGTTTAAAGAAGCAATATTAGCCTTTTCATCTGAGGCAGGAAATATTTTTCGTTTCATAAAAGCTAAATGAAATCACAAGTGACATGAGCTATTTGCTGCTCTGAGCAAATAAG